ATTTAACTATCAATGTAATTTTAAAATACCATTTTACGAAAATGATTTGACATCACCATAAATAATTCTTATTTCGGACGCCTTTCTTCATTTGCTGACGTATAAATGAAGACTCGTAATTTTGGGGGAATATTACTGGTGTGAATTTGATTGAAACAGGCGCAGATCGGCAAATTTCATTCTATCGTATAACGAAAACACATAATTTTGTAGGAATATTACTGACATGCGACAATATCAAATGGAACCAAGATCTTTGGGATATAAAAGTATATAATATAAAAGTTTCATCAAGTCGAATAAAAATTGTGACATTAAGAGGGACTACAACATCAAAACGTGTTTTTTGTATATTCAGGGATCATAATTCAGGAAGCTACGATGTGATATGCGCGAATATCGAAAGGAACTGAGATCTTTGGGATATAAACATACATTTTAAGTTTCATCACAATCGGATAAAAATTGTGTTTCTAGAGTGTCCACAATCTTGGAATTACATACTTTTACACTATTTGCTTATGAGGAGCGGCCATTTTGTCCGGCGGTTTCGCTCCGATTTTCATGAAATTTGAATTTAGTTGTCATTATGGCGTAACGGTGATATATTGAAACGGTTTTTAAAATCAGATAAAAATTGTGACCTCAAGAGGAACTTCAAGCTAAAAACGCGATTTTTCTTAAAATCGGGGGTCATATTCCACGAAGTTACGGTCCGATATGCGCGAAAATCGACAAGGACCGAGATCTTTGGGATCTAAACATAATTATTTTAAGTCTCATGAAAATCAGATATAAATTGTGACCTCCAGGGTGTCCACAAACTTGGAATTTCATACTTTTACACTATTTGTGTACGAGGAGTGGCCATTTTGTCTGACAGTTTCGATCCGATTTTCACAAAATTCGAACTCCGTCATCATTAGCGTTTTTAAAAATCAAAAAAAAAATTGCGACCTCTAGAGGGGCTACAAGCTAAAAACGCGACTTTTTGTATAATCATGGGCCATAATCCAGGAAGTTTAGATCCGATATGCGAGAATATCGAAAGGAACCGAGTTCATTGGGTTATAAACGTACCTTTTAAGTTTCATCAAAATCGGATAAAAATTGTATCTTCCATGTGCAGTGTCCACAAGCTAAAAACGTGATTTTTCGTAAGTTCAGGGGCCATACTCCATGAAGTTGCGGTTTGATACATATCAATATCGACAGGAGCCGAATTCTTAGGGACATAAACCTATATTTCAAGTTTTGTTGAAAATAGATAAAAATTATGACCTGTAGAGTGCCCATAAACAAACTGTTGACGGACGGGCGGACAGGGGCGAGGACAATATACATCCACACGAGAATGTGGGCGTACAAAAATAGCGAGGTGTTCCTATTTTTATTACGAGCGGATTTGAATATTTTGTTGACACGTGATTTTTATATGCCCACATTTTCATGTGGACGTATTATGCCGTCGCCCCTGTCCGTCCGTCAACAATTTGTATGTGGACACTCTCTACAGGTCACAATTCTTATCCGATTTTGACAAAACTTGAAATATAGGTTTATCTCCAAAAGATCTCGGCTGCTTTCGATATTGGCATGTATCGGATCGAAACTTCATGGATTATGGCCCCTGTTTGTAATAAAAATCACGTTTTTAGCTTGTGGACACTATATAGGTCACAATTTTTATCCGATTTTGTTGAAACTTGAAATGTAAGTTGATAACCCAAAGATCTTGGTTCCTTTCAATATTTGCGCATATCAGACCGTAACTTCCTGAATTATGGCCCCTGATTGTATGAAGAATCGCGTTTTTATCTTGTGGACCCTATAGAGGTCATAATTTTTATCCGATTTAAAAAAACGTATTATTATATCACCGTTACACACTAAGGATGGCTGAGTTCGAATTTCGTGAAAATCGGCCAAAAATTGACAGACAAAATGGCCGCCGTTCGTTCTCAAATAGCGTAAAAATATGGTATATCAAGGTTGTGGACCCTATAGAGGTCACAATTTTTACACTATTTGAGAAAGAACGAAGAACGGCAGCCATTTTGTCTGTCAGTTTTGGGCCGATGTTCACAAAAATCGAACTCAGGGTGTAACGATGATATAATAATACGGTTTTTTAAATCAGATAAAAATTCTGACCATCATAGGGTCCACAAGCTAAAAACGTGATTTTTCGTACAATCATGGGCCATATTTGAGGAAGTTACGGTCCGATATGCGCGAATATCGAAAGGAACCAAGATCTTTGGGTTATAAACTTACATATCAAGTTTCAACAAAATCGGATAAAAATTGTGACCTCTATAGGGTCCACAACCTTGATATACCATATTTTTATGCTATTTGAGAACGAACGGCGGCCATTTTGTCAGTCAATTTTGGGACGATTTTAACGAAATTCAAACTCAGTCGTCCTTAGGGTGTAACGGTGATATAGTAATATGTTTTTTTAAATCGGATAAAAATTGTGATGGCAATAGCGTCCACAAGCTAAAAACGCGTTGTTTTTTTACAATCAGGGGCCATAATTCAGGAAGTTACGGTCCGATATGCCCGTATATCAAAAGGAACCGAGATCTGTGGGTTATAAGCATACATTTCAAGTTTAAACCAAATCGGATAAAAATTGTGACCTCTAGAGTGTTCACAAGCTAAAAACCCGATTTTTCGTACAATCAGGGGGCATTCTCCATGAAGTTACGGTCCGATACATGCCAATATTGAAAGGAACCGAGATCTTGGGGAGATAAACCGATATATCTGGTTTTGTTGAAATTGGATAAGAATTGTGACCTGTAGAATGTTCACAAGCAATTGTGGACGGACGGACAGGGGCGACGACAATATACGTCCACATGAAAATGTGGGCGTAAAATAAAAGAAGCCAAAGACGTCATCATCAGTCATGTTTAACACAACATCTTCTTAAAAGAGATCTCCATTCTGAAAGATAAAGAAACATGTTTCTAAGAAGAGCCCGCTCAAAGGCTTACCACTTCAAGACCTGGATCCCTTCATCCATACAGATGGTTTGCTCAGGGTTGGTGGACATTTGAGACGAGCACAGTGGCCTATTCCAGAGAAACATCCAGCAATATTATCCAAAAATGATCACATCACTTCTCTTTTAATCCGCCACTATCATCAGAGAAGACTGATAACACATGGTAAAATTAGACAATCAGGGTTTTGGATCATTGCCGGACAACGGTTAGTCAGTAGTTACATAAGAAACTGTTTTAGGTGTAACTTTCTTCGTCGCCCTTGTGCGACACTAAAGATGGCTGACCTTCCCGATGATCGTTTACAATTTTCAGCACCTTTCAGTTATGTTGGTATGGATGCATTCGAGCCATGGGAAATCACAACTAGAAAAACTTGTGGTGGATCAGCATATAGCAAGCGCTGGGGTTTGATCTTCACTTGCCTAAACAGTAGAGCCCTCCACATAGAAATTGTTGAATCCATGGATACCTCATCATTCATTTATGCCCTACGTCGTTTTATTGCATTACGTGGACCTGTCACTGTTCTACGGTCAGACCAAGGCACAGACTTTATAGGAGCTAGAACTGAGTTAACAGAGGCACTCAAGGAAATTAAGAATGACCGTATTTGACAATTCCTAATACAGCACGAGTGTGATTGGAAATTCAACCCACCTCATGCATCACATTTCGGGGGCATCTGGGAGCGCCAGATTGGTACGTTAAGAAGAGTTTTAGACGGTATGCTTCTTGAGTTAGGTAAAGCTCCACTGACTCATGATCTACTAATCACTCTAATGGCAGAGGCTGCTGCAATAGTCAACTCACGCCCAATTACAGATGTCAACGAACCTCAACCACTATCACCAGCAAATATCTTAACGATGAAGACAGGCCCTTATCTCCCACCCCCAGTTGAATTCACTAGGCCAGATCTGTACTGTCAAAAACAGTGGCGCAGAGTTCAATATTTGTCCGACCAATTCTGGTTATGTTGGCGAAAAGAGTACATCCAAAATCATCAACAAAGAAAAAAGTGGAAAAGCTCAAGTCCAAATATTAAAGTAAACGATATTGTTCTGATTAGAGATAAGAATTCCATGACGGGACTATGGCCCAAAGGACGCGTAACTAAAATCAAAGTAAGCGAAGACGGAATTGTTAGAGAGGCCTGGGTGCTCCTGTGTTAGAAGGACAGCAAAAAACATACTCGAGACCAGTGTGCGATTTAGTTGTGTTGTTAGCCGCTGATAAAGGAGATGTGTAAAAGATAAACTTTTAAGTGGGGAGTGGTGTTATTTTATTAGGACTGTCATAATATTTATGACCTTTCTTTTTATTTGATAAATATACGTATTTGTACAATGTAGCTGGTAATCCACATACCTGCTTCTACCTTAATGTGATTCAATAGTGTCCATCATTTTAAATGTGAATTACTCATGTAAACCGAAAGTGGATTCTGTATTGTTTTCCCGCCATTATAGCAGTAATGTTTTTAAGGTAGAGGCAGGGAATGTGGCTGTACAGTGTTTACCGCAGCCCAAGATTGATTAAACGAAAATGGTAGCAAAAACAGTTTTATTCTTTCGCCAGGGAAGAGCATAAGCTAATGGGGAGCCAGGTCTCGACGAGTAAAGACTCCGCGGTGTCGTTCGAGCCGGTGAGACAGGACATTATATATCTAAGTCAATGAATTCATCATTCTTATCATGTCATAACTGACTTCTGGTCATTTTGCATAAAGTTATTCATCCCTGAAGAGGTTAGTATTTTTACTGAAGAAACACTGGATAAAACAATGTTTTTTTCGATATTGTATTCTATTAATTATTTTATCAACTTATCTGAATATCAAATGCATCATTTTGACATAGTCAAAATTGATCCCATCAAACTGTCTGTAATTGGTCTGTATTACCTACTTCTATTGATTGGAAGTTTCTCGCATGAAAATGTGGGTGTATAAAAATTATGATTAATTATTTTTCAACTTACCTTTGCTATGGCACCCATTTTATCTTTATGAACTTTTCCATAATCCAATTTAGAGAACTCTGCTGCTACCTGTTGTATGATCAAATCATTGTCTGTTGAAGGCACAGGCTTACCAGTCGGAAAATAAAACTTAGGAATATTGGCACTTTGCTTTGGGATGGGTAACCCACATATTTTAGTCTTATTTTCATTTTCAATTTTTGAGTTTGTAATTATAATATTCTGTTGACTGTCTTTTTCTGCCTTTTTTTCGCGATCTTTTCTCTCCTGTACTCCGCAATCCTTTTCTTGGTTGTTGTTAAACACCAGTTGAACAGATTGCTGGGAACAGAAAATAAACAAAATCATGTAAAAAATAAAATTATGGAAGTTATTACAAATAAGTTAAAGATGGTTTGTGTAAACTAACCTCTAACACCCACCTTGACAGTTATATACGGGTTCCATGTCGGCCATATATGCTGGTCAAGACTGAGGGCTATGGAAAATGACCGAAACTAGATCACACCAATCAGTCATTATTAATTCATAATTCATTTACTAGAGACTCAAGACTTGCAGGAATGCGAGGACAGTCTAAATCTGTTGAGAATATTCTGAAAAATGAACGCAAGCACGTGGCCAAATAACGACTTTTTAAAATGGGTGTAAAATTGTTTCCTAAATAGTCCCGAAGAAAATCCCTTCAAGCATGGTTAAATGGACAATAAACCCCCTCTAAATACGAAAGATAGGTTGCCAGGCAACAAAACATACGGCCACAGCAGCTAAATCGTCCGGGAAGTCAACAAGAGTTGTCGCATATTCTTACATCGGTAATGAAACATTTATAATACACTAAAATCTGATTAAGAACAAGAACTCATGAAGTAATTATCAGAAAACCATTAGAATTTGTTTGTTTTTTATAAAGTTCTGCCCCATGCTAACGTTTTGTATACAAAACTTTTAATATCATGGATTTGTTCAAGTCATAAAAATTCATTGAAAATCAGTATACTTGTTCGTCTCAAGATCTTAAACTCTGTGTATCAATCTAAAGTCAATTGGATGATAACTTTAGCCTTTACAGCGGAAATCGTTGAAAATCAAGGGCCATAACTCTGGCAGTAATTATCGGAAATCGGTGAAAACCAATAGGCTTCTTCGTCTCATGACCTTAAAGACTGTGTATAAATTTAAGGTCAATCGGATATTAACTTTGGCTTCTCGGGGGTCCACAAGATTTTTTGAAGTGATCAAGGGCCATAACTCTGGCAGTAATTATTGAAAATCGCTGAAAATCAATAGGCTTCTTCATCTCAAGACCTTAAACACGGTGTATAAATTTAAGGTCAATCGGATATTAACTTTGGCTTCTAGAGCGTCCACAAGATTTTTTGAAGTGATCAAGGGCCATAATTATCGGAAATCGCTGAAAATCAATAGGCTTCTTCGTCTCAAGACCTTAAACACTGTATAAATTTAAGGTCAATCGGATATTAACTTTGGCTTCTAGAGCGTCCACAAGATTTTTTGAAGTGATCAAGGGCCATAATTATCGGAAATCGCTGAAAATCAATAGGCTTCTTCGTCTCAAGACCTTAAACACTGTATAAATTTAAGGTCAATCGGATATTAACTTTGGCTTCTATGGCGTCCACAAGATTTTTTGAAGTGATAAAGGGCCATAACTCTGGCAGTAATTATCAGAAATCGCTGAAAATCAATAGGCTTCTTCGTATCAAGACCTTAAACACTGTGTATAAATTTAAGGTCAATCGGATATTAACTTTGGCCTCTAGAGCGTCCATAAGCAATTGTGGACGCCGGACCGACAGACGACAATATACGACCACATTTCAATGTGGGCGTATAAAAAGAAAATGTTTATCTCCTAACTAATCACCAACACAACTTTGTTGACAACTATTTATACAACTCTATAACACCAATCGTGAGATTATGTGGCTTCTATACATTGTATCCGAGACTAAAAAAGGAGTAACTCTTGGCAACAAAGATGACTTTGCTTTGGGAGTTCCATTTTACATTTGTGAGTTTTCAGCCTTTATTATTTTATTTGCAGACATCACAATTTTGTAGCTAGTTCTTGTTCAGAAAATTGCAGTTTATGATTTCATCCTCAAAAATACCCTATAAAAGTATGTAATGTCTAGGATTCTAGCGGTTGCTAGATAACACATTGTCAATATGTCAATTTTGGCGTAATTCCTATCTATTAGGCCTATTTCAGCTGCTATTTTCGATTCCCTCATTATATTTTCAAGCGATTTCTTGTGACTAATGACTTATTATTAGACAGATCATGCTAGTCAGAATTTGATCAAAGCATGATTTAAAAAATTCCACTTAAGTAAACATTGGTGAGTGAAGCTAGCCGACCAAAAAAGAAAACAGAGAAATGGGGTTTAACGTCCACTCGACACAAACTAGGTCATTTCGGGACTAACATATGGTTTAATTTTATTTCAATAATTCACTTGCGCGTAGGGGTCTTTAGCCGTGGGAGGAAACCGGAGGACCCGGAGAAAACCCACGAGGTTGGACAGATGACCCTACTCCTTGTCACGTACAACCGGGATTCGAAACCACGCCAGTTGATTCCATGACCGGCCTTATGATACAGCACGCACGTGCTAACCATTCGGCCATCCAACCCCCCTGAGTTGAGGAAGATCATTGAGCACAAAAATGAAAAAAAGTATGCTGTAATATTTATAATTTAGAGCGGTTTTATTGTCCATTCGACCACACTTTCGACCAATCAGAATCGAAATTTCTGATTTGTGCTACAATGATGAATGTCCGGTAGTAGAACAATAAAAGTTAATTGTTAGGTGTGAACCTTATCAATGATGAGAAGCGTATGTTGTTAACAGTGATGGGATTTCAAAATTTTTCTTGTTGGACAATTTTTCCCAAAAATAAAAGGGCATAACTCTTATCGTTATTTAAGCAGGCGTTTTCAAACCACAATTCAGAATCAGGAATCAACAAAATATTCAAATTCATACGTAACAAGCCAACAGCGAGGCTGATGTTCCCCGCCAAATTCCAAAAATAAACAGATGACACATATTAATTAATAGCACATTTGTTTTTTTCATAAGTATCGAGCAATCAAGCTATACACTAAGTTTCGTCATTCTCTATCAGATAGAATCAAGATTATCTTGTCCCAAAGCATCGATCAATGAAATTGATTAGCTCTGCTTAGCTTCATCTCGAAATGTTAATCATTGAACTCAGTCAAGACATTCACCTGATGAACATCAACATCAAGTTTAAACATTCTACCTCAATTAAAAGCAGTGTTGTTATGTTCCAAAGTCTTGACCAATCAAATTGCTTATCGCTTCTTAGTCTGAGCAGATAATTCTCACCATCGAACTTAGTCAAGGTAATAATATAATGAATCTATATTCCGAGTTTCATCGCTCTCACTTCATTATAACCAAATTTATCATGCCCCAAAGTATCGAGCAATCAGATTGCTTATCTCTGCTTACTGTAAGCAGACAATGTTCATCATCAACCCTCATAAAGGCATTCACAAAATGAACGCCTACACCAAGTTTGAACATTCTACCTCAATTAGGAGAGTTATTGTGTTCCCAAAGTCTCGACCAATCAAATTGCTTATCGCTCTGCTTACCCTCGGCAGAAAATGTTCATTATCGAACTTAGTCAAGGTATTGATGTAATAAAACTATACACCAAGTTTCATCACTCTCACCTAATTAGAACTAAAGTTATCGTGTCCCAAAGCATCAACCAATCAAATTGCTTATCTTTGTTTACCCTAAGCAGAAAATGCTCATCTTCGAACTCCATCAAGGCATTCACCTAATAGACACCTATGCCAAGTGTGAACATTCTAACTCAATTAGAATGAGAGTTATTATGTTCCAAAATCTTGGCCAATCAAATTGCTCATCGCTCTGCTTACCCTAAGCAGAAAATGCTAACTATCGAACTTTGTCAAGTTATTGATGTAATAAAACTATACACCAAGTTTCATCACTCTCACTTAATTAGAACTAAAGTTATCGTATCCCAAAGCATCAACCAATCAAATTGCTTATCTCTGCTTACTCTAAGCAGAAAATGCTCATCTTCGAACTACATCAAGACATTGACCTAATAAACACCTACACAAAGTTTGAACATTCTAGCTCAATTACAAAGAGAGTTATTGTGTCCCAAAAAGTGTGACGGACAGACAGACAGACAGACGAACCCATTTTAATAGTCCCCTGCTTTCTTTGAAAGGCAGGGAACAATAAAAAAATAGGTGCACCTCATTATTTTTCATATTTAATTCCTGTACGGTATTCAAATTTATGTCAATAATATTCCTACAAAATTACTTGCCATCGTAATACCGCAAAATAAAAGTGTGCCGTCTACTGCCAATCTGTACCTGTTTCAAATTCCTCCAAAATTACTGTATTTTTCGGGGCATTTTTCTTAAACTTCATTTCGACTTATATAGGGAAGGTAAAAAAAATGACATCCCGAAATCTATTTGCCAGTAAACGTCGCTATCGTCTAAAACAATTAACTACTTCCATATTCCAATCTAAATATTCGTCCAATTTCTTGTGGAATTCTTGTGGCAAAAAACACCACAGACCCAAAACACTCTATGAAACTTATTGTAAGTCGAAAATCTTGTGGAATGTGGTACCACACAAGCATATAGGGGCCCCCCCCCCCCCCCCCCCCCGAGAAGAAATTTTTGAAAAAATTGTTATTTATTCTATGTCCAATTTCTTGCGGAACTCTTGTGGTGAAAAACACAACAGACCCAAATCACTCTATCAAAATTATTCTAAGTCGAAAATTTGTGGAATGTATTTGTTTTTGGAAACCCAATATCTTGTGGAACTCTGGTGGTGAAAAGTTCCACACAAATGCCCCGAAACCTTGCCATAAATGATTAATCACATAGATTAAGTTTATAATCACTCTGATTGGATTGATATATAGTAGACAAAGGAGAAGCAGATTAAGTCAGCCAATCAAGGCAGATTAAGTATTTAATCAAGGTAGGTGTATAGACGGTTTAACACGATAAATACGTTGATAAATACATTATGCAAGAGCTAAATCTGTCTATTGCAGGTCTTTCTTTAGGCGTGAAATGTTATCTAAATTATCAATTAGATATTAATTAACCTATCCAGACTATAATCAACTCTAGATGGCATCGCTAGCCTGCGATCTTTAGTGGATTGTGAGCAGATTTACTGCATAACTTTCCTTCACGATTTAATGGTTAAATGGATAATCGAGACTATGCTGTTCATCGTACT